TGTGTGTGTGTGTGTGTGTGTGTGTGTGTGTGTGTGTGTGTGTTTTGAGAAGTATCAATGAAGCTTCCTCCATGTAAAAAGAACTTTGCTGCCTTGCAGGGTGGGGATTCGCTTGTTGTTGGTGCAGGCTGATTTTGTCTGTGGTGAAATGTGGAAAAGTGTCTGCAGTGAGTTTGCTCAGTGAGTATGTGAGATGTTCTTCTGTGTGTGACAGGCAGCAGGGAGGGGGAATCACACGCCACACGCCACTGCAAAGCGTGAAAGGCGGACTTTTCATCGATGGACAGATGGGTGAAAATGCACATCTTGTTGGCATCCCTTGATCCATCTACTCCAGATCGTCTGTATGCAAAGTCATCAGATCCAATCGGAGGGTCCACGTGCGGCCAAATGGACATGTTCTGTCTTTGCAGTTTTCACGGCTGTCCTTGAACAGCTTGTTCGGCAGCATTCATTTGACTGGCTCAGTGCCCATGTCTCAAGCGAGTTCGTCGTGAATCTCTGCTGACCCTGCAAAAGAAGAACATCCACGGTGGGTTGGCCTCTGTGAGCTGCAGCTACTGTTTCCAGGCATGGCTGCTTCAATCTTGCCTAAGACGGTGGGGTGGATGAGGAGCGTGCCAGCGCAGACATTCGATAGCGAAGGTACTGGACATCAAGATCATTCGTCGTTGGGCAACTGCCTGACGAAGAGGAATGGCGCGATGCTTTGGCATTCATCAGTATCATCGGAGGACCAACATCAAAGAGTCAGATGCAGGCCACACTACCCTTGTGGTGGTCCTTGCAAGGGTCTGACGAGCATGGGTTCGTCTCATTGGCGCGTAAGGGCCGGCCGACAGAATAGCGTACTGCTATGGCTAGCAACGTCATTGTGCAAGCACACGGAAGGAAAGACTGTTGTTGCAGTGGGGTGCCTTGGCAGTTGCCCTGATTCTCATCACCTGGCCTGGAAGAACACTCATGGTCGTCGTCATCAAGAAAAAACTTGCAGTTTCTGTGATCGCTTTCAGCCTCTTTATGCAAGCAGGGTTACTCAATGGTCACAGTACGGCGACTGCTTGCCATTGCAGTCGTCCGGCAACAACCGCCTTTCGCTTTCGAGGAGGGTTCTGCGTCGTAAAAAGCACCAACTGAATCTAGCACTGGAGTCTCTGCTGAAGTCGTCGGTCCGGCTTCTGTTGCGGGTCCAGGGTCTATGGAAAGGGCAATGTCAAGATCGTCTTGGAGTAGATAGAATAAGGCATAGGAGGGAGAGAGCAGTCGCAAGTTCATCTGACAGCAGGGACGAAGATCTGGCAAAAGCGCAGAGCGATATCCCCGGTAAGACGACATTGAAAGGCTGGACACGACCACGCAACAACACTGCGCGTGAACATTGCGTATGGGTGGTCCCTTGGTCTGGATTTACGATCTTTAAGGTCATGGTTCTTTGGTTCACGTCCTTCTGGCTCGTTGGATCTTGGATCATCCCGATGGCCGCCCAAGCAGTGGGATTCCGACGTGCATCGCTCTCATTCCGAGGCCAGGCCGTGTACAGCCTGATTACGGATATGGCTGAGATGACGGTTGGCCTGAGTATTCTTCACCATTCATTGGCACGTTTTCAGCCGCTTCCAGGTGAGTGGTTCCCAGTCAAATTGAGAGGTACGTGGGTGCTTGAGGCTTTTGCTGGTTGCCTTCTCTTTCCAGTTGTGAATATGCTCTCTCAACTCAACCTCAATCTCCTGCCAACCCCCGGGGCCGCGCAGTCCGCAATGCAGTTAGACCAGGCATTGACACCGAAAGATCCAATTGCAACGATCCTATATGTGCTTGTAGTGTCCGTGTGTGCTCCCATCTGGGAGGAGGTGATTTTTCGCGGCTTTTTGCTGCCTTCGCTAACGCGGTATTTGCCAGTCTGGGCCTCAGTAGGAGTCAGCGCACTCGCATTCGCTCTGGCTCACTTCAGCATGCAAAGACTTCTGCCGTTGTTGTTTCTTGGCGTTGTCATGGGTGTTGTCTTTGTCCGCTCACGAAACCTCCTCGCCTCAATGCTCCTTCACAGCTTATGGAATGGCTTTGTCTTTCTTGAGCTTCTCAGGTAGCAAATGGAAACAATGTGTCCCATCTCATCTCAACAGTCTATTTGAATATCCCGCTCCTGTGTTCCATCATTTCACCTGCTCATACCCACATAATTTACCTCTGAGCACACAGTGATTGATTGATTGATAGATAGATGCATAGTTAGATAGATAGATAGACACGCACACAGACACACACACACACACACACACACACACA